GGGTTTCATCATTTCTTCCACCAAACTTAGTATTTTTTTTATGTTTCTTTGTATAAATTGTTGTTTGGCTACCATGTCTATGTGGATATAAACTCCACGTTCTAGGGTTGTGGTTCTTTCATTACTATTGTTATTCGAATATTGATTTTGATTTCTTGATTTTTCGTATTGGTTTATTTACTCAATCTTGCACTTAATTATTTGAGTGCTTGATCACCAATTGATTACTATCTACGAATCTAGAGTTGAAATCGAAAGTGGGAATTCTAGATTGCATATAGGATTGAGTAGAGCAAGTTCTTGAACTTGGGCATCGGGGAATGAATTCGCGGTTAGGATAGACATATACCTAATTGCCTTGCTTGGTTGATTTACAGGAATTATAAATGCGTTCTTGTTGGTTCTAATTCCATAGACGTATAAGCGTTAGGTTAGCTTGAATAGGCGAGTAAGAACTCGACAGATTCTTTTGAGCAATATTAACTTTGTCTACCAATAAATCAGATAAATTAATTAGTCAATTCAATTGAAGAATACAATATGATTGTTAAATATCCCATAACCCTAGATCGTTTTCATAATATTGATAACATAAAAATCTGTTCTTCCTCTATTCAAAGTTCATTATTTGTTTTTATTTATTTTAATTAGTTTAGAATCAAATATTTCTAGTTTTAATTCTTGTTTAGATAGTTAGAATAGTCTAATTTAGTTAACAGTTAATCACAAGTCCACGTGGGTTCGACATCCGACTTCTAGTCACTTTATTACTTGACGGTCGCGTATACTTGCATGTGCGTTTGGCCGCAACAAGTTTTTGGCGCCGTTGCCGGGACTTAGAAATTAACTATTTTTCTATATTAGACTTTTACTTTTATCTTTACAAGTTTTTTTCCTTCTCTTTTTGTAAATATTTTATTTTTATAACTATTTTATTTTTCTCTTAGTGCATTTCTAGTTCTCTTAGCATGACATATGGGGATGAAATATTCGGAGGTAAGGTTATTGAAGAAGACGCTTGGTTGACGGAAGTGTGACGACCCGGCCAGTCGTCTCATGAGTTACCGCTTTATTTCCCCCATTTCTACTTCTTTATGCTTTGTTATCTGTGTATTGTGGTATCGGGTTAGTCGGATCGAGTTCGGAATAATTTAGATAAGATTTGAGACACTTAGTCTCTTTTAAGAAGGCTTAAGTTGAAAAAGTCAACTACATATTGACTTATGTGTTAGAGAGCTCGGATGTGAGTTTCGATGGTTCAGTTAGCTTCGGAAGGTGATTTATACTTAGGAGTGTGATCGGAATGGGTTTTGGAGGTCCGGAGTAGAATTAGGCTTGAATTGGCGAAGTTGATATTTTGGCGATTTCTGGTTGGTAGGTGAGATTTTGATCTGGTGGTCGGAATAGAATTCTGATAAATGCAGTAGCTTTGTTGTGTCATTTGGGATGTGTGTGCAAAATTTCAGGTCATTCGGACGTGATTTGGTTGGGGTTTTGATCAAAAGCATATTTCGGAAGATTTTAGAAACTTAGGCTTGAATCCGATGTGTTTTGAGTGATTTGATGTTGTTTGAGGTGTTTTGATAATTGGAACAAGTTTGAATAATGTTTTAGGAAGTGTTGGTGCCATTGGTTGTGGCCCCGGGGGCCTCGGGTGAGTTTCAAGTGATCAATCGAACAAATTCTAAGTTGAAAAATTGCAGAAGTTCAGGTTCAGCTGTTGTAGGGTTTTGCCCTTCGCGATCGTGAGGGGAGTCCTGCAATTGCATAGAAGGAATTTAGGAAGGGGCCCAATTGCACTTCGCGTTCGCAGAGCTTGGATTGTGATCGCATTGTTTGGGAAGAGTGTGCATTGCGAACGCGTGTAAGGAGTCCCGATCGCATTGTGTTAATTGGACCAGGGGTCTGGGAAGGATTTTGTTCAACGCGAACGTGGGAGGTGGTCCGCAATCGCGTAAGGTCAGTGGCTCAGGCATTGCGATCGCAGGGTCTTGGACGCGATCGCATAGAGTTATTTTGGGAGCTGAGATTTTTGTGCTTCGCGATCGTAAAGTTTTTCCCGCGGTCGCGATGAAGGAAAAGCAGACCTTGGCAGAATGTTTTAAGTCATTTCATCGGCGATTTTGGGTCTATTTTCACCCATAGTTGATCATTTTGATTGCTTCTTGGTGGAGATTAAAGAGGGATTCAAGGGGAATCGATTGGAGGTAAGCTTTTTGAACTTAAAACTCGTTTCTATTGTGAAATCTACCTAGAAAATCATGGGACTTAAGCTAAAAATGGAAGAACCAGGGCTTGGAATTTTGGAATTTTGATTTAGGGATTTGGTGGACCAGTTGGGGTCGGATTTGAGAACTTTTGGTATGTATAAACTCGTGGGGAGATAAGGAACCCGTTGATTTAAAATTTTCTGAGTTTCGAGAAGTGGGCCCGGGGCTCGGGGTTTGCTAATTTCGGAATTTTGGTATTTTTCGATTGTTTTCTCTTGAGCTTTGTTCCCTTAGCATATTTTGATGTATTCGTTCTGCTTTTGGATAGATTCAACGCGCGTGGAGGCTTATTCGAGGGGCAAAGGCATCGCGAGCTAGAGATTTAGCCGGTTCGAGGTGAGTAATGAATGTAAATGATGTCCTGAGGGTTTGAAACCCCGGATTTACACATCGTAGTGCAATATTTAGGTGAGGCATACGCTTAATGACAAGCATGGGGTCGTGCACTATTGGGGATTGTGATTTATTCCATCCTGATTGATGATTTTACCGCGTATTTGACTGAAACTTATTTGTTTTCATCATGAATTCGACTTCCTAGTGCCATTTATGTGAACCCTTCGGGGTAATTTATTGATATTTCCCTCAATGTTTTAATTTAATACTTGAACTTAGTCCCGATAATTTCCACTGTTTTACTATTCATCCACTCTTTATCAGTTTTAAAACTTAAATAATATTTTAAATGATGTTTGGGCTGAAAATACTATTTTTACTATTGCTCGAGGGCTTGTGATGATTTTTGGACTGAGTAAGGCTGAGGGCCTGTATTGTGAGGAACACTATTACTGATATGAGGCCGAGGGCCTGAGATACACATATACGCCACAAGGTGGCTTGATTGATATGAGGCCGAGGGCCTAGATTTGATACCACGAGGTGGCTTGTTATTACGCTTGGGCCGTAAGGGGCCCCTCCAGGAGTCTAAACACCCCCAGTGAGCGCGGGTACCCATTTTGATGTGAGATTGAGCCCGAGGGGCTGGTATTGTTCTGAGATTGAGCCCGAGGGGCTGGTACTATTCTGAGTTGTTGCCCGAGGGGCGGATTTGTTGATACTGTTCCCGAGGAGCGAACTTCTATTTGTATTTACCTGTTAATTACTTGTTTTACTTGTTGAAAAGGGGATTTTACTTGATTCTTCACTGAGTTACGATTTTTAAGTGATTTTTACTGCTTCGGTATAGAATGCCTTGTGTTTTCCTATGTTTTCTTACTTTCTGCCTGTCACGACCCAAATCCAGAACCTGGTTGTGATGGCGCCTCTCGTGAAGACAAGGCCATCCAGTCTAACCCAATTCGTCTTTTTAAACAATTGTTTAACACAAATATAGTACAACATGGTTTAATAATATCAAATAGCAAAAAATATAAATAAGATGCGGAAACCCAGCCCGACACAGCCCTAACCGGGGTGTCACAAGTCATGAGCAACTAATGAATCCTGGCACAAGTCTACTAAATACGAAATATGATACAATAGTTCGAATAACATGTAAATGATAAGATAAGGGAGGCACGGGGCTGCGGACGCCAACAACTACCTCGTAGTCTCCGAAACACCGTCTGGACTGGAAGGATCAGCTCTTAGAAGTGGAAATCTGCTATGCCTGAATCTGCACACACGGTGCAGGGGGTAATGTGAGTACTCCGACCCAGTGAGTAATAACAATAACTAATGGCTGACAGTATGAAATCACGTAAAGGCACTAAGCAGTTCTATATCAAAATAGTAAAAATCATTTAAGCAGTAGTGAATGAGGAAATCCTGTGAAATTCTTTAAACCATTTAAAACAGATATAATCAGTATAAATCAGCTCCTCAAGCATTTCAGTTCATTTATTCGTTCTTATCCTCAGTCCTCAATCCATATACTTCTCACGATAATCGAATCAATAAATATACATACTGTTGCGGCGTGCAGCCCGATCCGTATATCGCTGTGGCGCACAACCCGATCCATAATAATAATAGTCAACTGCGCTCATTGGGGGTGTGCAGANTGCTCATTGGGGGTGTGCAGACTCCGGAGGGGCTTCTTCAGCCCAAGCGCTATATTGTTGCAGCGTGCCTCCCTGCCATCTAGAAAACAGAAGTGTGACCTCCCTGCCAATCTGTCCATCATTTGATCAATGAAGGGAAGTGGGAAGTGGTCTTTCCGGGTGGCTAGATTCAACTTTCGATAGTCCATACAAATTCTCCAGCCTGTGACGGTTCTTGTTGAGATCAATTCATTGTTGTCATTTGTCACAACCGCCATGCTACCTTTTTTAGGAACACATTGCACTGGGCTTACCCAGCTACTGTCAGAGATTGGGAAAATAATTCCTGCATCCAACCACTTTATCACCTCCTTCTTCACCACTTCCTTCATGTTGGGGTTCAGCCTCCTCTGATGTTCCCTGGAAGGTTTGTGCCCCTCTTCCAACCGAATCTTGTGCATGCAGTAGGTGGGGCTGATCCCCCTAGTGTCTGCCATGGTCCACCCGATGGCAGTTTTGCACTCCCTTAGTACCTGTAAAAGCTTTTGAACCTGCACATCTAACAAACTAGATGAGATAATAATAGGTAATGTGGAGTCAGGTCCCAGAAATTCATACTTGAGGTGGGCTGGCAATGGATTTAACTCTAGCTTTGGTGGTTCTTCAATGGATGGCTTAGCTGGAGGAGTTTCTCTCTTTTCTAAGTGCAAGGGCTCTAACTCTAGATTTCTCTCCCAGAATCCTCTACCTTCTAATGCCAACACCCATTCTGCCAAATCCTCACCATTCACTTCATCTAAGTTCATCAAACATGCAGCAAGGGGGTCCTCAATTGTCAATACCTCATCATCAGACTCTACAATTACATCTACGGCATCAATAAGAGAGCAATTGGCGAACTCGCTTGGTCGCGTCATAGACTTCTGCACATTGAATGTTATTTCCTCATCATTGAGTATCATTTTGAGCTCCTCAGTCTCACAGTCAATTAGAGCTCTCCCCGTGGCCAAGAATGGTCCTCCTAAGATTATAGGAATCTCTTCATCCACTTTGCAATCCAAGATCACAAAATCTGCAGGGAACACAAATTTCCCCACCTGAATAAGCACATCATCAAGGATACCGAATGGACGCTTCACAGTCCTACCGGCCAGCTGCAACAACATGGAGGTGGGTCTAGCTCTCCCAATGCCCAACCTCTTATAGATATCCAGGGCATAATATTAATGCTGGCCCCTAAATCACAGAGCGCCTTAGCAAAAGCGAAATTCCCAATAGTGCATGGAATTGTAAAGCTACCTGGATCAAACATCTTTTCAGCAATAGGTCTCGTCACCACTGCACTACAGATCTAAGTAAGTGTAACCGTAGCCAAGTCTTGAAAATCAAATTTCCGGGACATCAAGTCCTTCATCATTTTTGCGTACCCAGGCATCTCCTTTAAAGCTTCAATCAGTGGAATATTTACCTGGATTTGTTTGAGCATTTCAAAGAACTTTTTATACTGCTCCTCCTTTTGATGCTTGGCCAGCCTCTGTGGAAAGGGTGCAGGAGGTCTCTTCTTCCCAATCACTTGGGACTTCCCTTTATCAGCTACTATTTCAACTACTAGCTCTTTAACTGGCTCAGCTACTTTCTCGGTCTCCTACTGAATGTTCTTTTCTTCCTGAGCGGGCTGGACTGTCACTTCTGTCAGTATCGTAGACTCATCCAGCTCAATGGGCACTGGAATGAGTGTCTCTGCCTGTATATTTTCTCGAGCTCTACCTTGTTCTACATCTAGATCCCTGCCATTACGGAGACTCACCGCCATCAGCTGCTTTGGGCCCTGATCTTTTGGATTAATCTGGGTGTCTACAGGTAATGTCCCCTGAGGACGATTGTTCAGAGACATTGAAATTTGGCCCAATTGCACTTCAATACTTTTGATTGCTGCGTCATGTGCATCTACTCTTTCATTTATTTTTGCATTGGACCTAATAACCTGCTGCATCATTGCTTCAAGTCTAGTGAACCCATCTTCTTGCCTTCCACCATGTTGTTGCTAAGTGGGGGATACCCTTGCTGCTGATTGTTGTACCCATGTGGCCTTGGATAAGGTGCCATACTGTTGGGGGGTCTCATACCTCCCATGCTTCCAGCGTTGTACTGTGGCTGAGGTGGTCTGTATGGCTGCTGAGTTTGCTAACCCTAGTTCTGATTGCCCTGTCTCTAGCCTCCATAGTTTGACACATAGTTCATGTCTTTAGGGTGCTGATGATGATAATCATGTTCTTCATTCCAAGGATTACCAACTGGCTGACTAATGCAAGATGTGCACAAACCCCCATTGGTAGTATCTACAATGTGCAATTGCTGTTTCTGCCTTGATTCCTCTACCTTTTTGGTGAGTATGCTCATCTGTGTCAAGAGGGTCGCCACATTTTCAGCCATGGAATTTGATGGGTCAAAAGGCACTGAGTGCACCACTGGAGTGATAGGTGCATTCCTCGTCGTCCACCCCGAATTTTGAGCCATTTTGTCAAGCAGACTCTGACCTTCTCTCCAAGTTTTGCTCAAAAATGCCCCACCAGCTGAGGCATCTACAATGTTCTTCATGCTATTTGACAGTCCCATGTAAAACCGTTGTCCCAACATCTAATCTAGAATACCATGGTGTGGATATATAACCAACATTCCTTTAAACCGGCTCCATGTCTCATGCAGTGTCTCCATTGGTTTCTGTTTAAAGCTCACAATCTCATCAATTTGTTGAGTTGTTTTGTTGGGCGGGTGGAACTTGATGTGAAATTTCTTGACTAACTCATCCCAAGTTTCTATAGAGTTTTTGGGGAGAGAGTTTAGCCAGATCTGAGCAGCTCATTTCACCGAGAATAGAAATAATAACAGCCTGATTGCTTTCGGAGTTACGTTGGGTTGCCTTTGAGTTTTGCAAATCGACAGGAAGTTCTTCAAGTGCTACTGAGGATCTTCGGCTGGTGTCCCAGAAAATAGTCCCTTGTTTTGCAACAAGTGCAGCATGTTGTTCGTGATCTGGAACGATTCAGCTTATATCGCGGGCACAACAATGGCAGTGGCCAGATTATTAGTTGTGGGTTGTGCCCAGTCATATAGTGCAACCTCAGGCACAGGAGGTGCCATATCTCTGACGTTTTCGTTGACGTTGTCTACGTCACCCATGTCAATTTCGAGTTTGTGTGTTTGATGAGGTTGTTGAAGTCTTTTGTTGGCACGGTTCAATATCCGGAAGGTTTTCTCGGGGTTTGATAGTCTTTCAAGTAGTTCTCCAGTCCTCGTAGATTTTCTAGGCATACACCCATGCAACCACGTCAACAATCGTCAAAAATTTCAATCAATAATTTGGTGTAGAGAAAACTGACTACACTAAGAATTTTTGTATTTCTATCAATGGTAATTGATAATTCTGTTAACTCCCCGGCAACGGCGCCAAAATTTGATCACGCCCAACTATGCCTTATAAAAAGGACCCTGCAGACGTTGCAAATATAACTTGAGTATTCTGCCCAGAGTCGAATCCACAGAGAGTTAACCTATCAATCACTATCTTTAGACCCACTAATCTCTTGAGAACCAATTTCCCCAAACGTTTGAATCACAGTTGATGGTGTCTTTAATAACTAAAATTGCAAGTAAATAAACAGCTGTAAACTAAGGATGCTAAGGTTGTAAACAATAATGAGAAAACGCTAAGATAATGACTTCCTATATTGATGGAATCCTTTCTGTTTATGCTTCATACAAATTGTCCATCACCTCTCTATCAATCATGAACGCTCATCTTACCGTAACTCTCTCTCGAGTAATCACAGTAATATACTCAATGCACTCTCCCGAGATACACTAGCTAGCTTTAATTAACACGGTTCACTTTAGATTGCACTCAAGGCTTCGTTATTCCTAATCCCTCCTTTAAACCCTCAGTTATAGATCCCTCTTATACTTTGGGAGTAGTGTTATTCAACAATAACCTAAATATGCACTCTCTCCCGAGTTATGCATACTAAATAGGCACAGCTAATTGAGGATTCTGTCAATTAACTACAACATGCACAAAGTTGAACAAATAAAGATTGAGATTAGCAATTTGTATTCACATAAACAAGAAGTTCATCCCCCAATAGGTTCCATCAAAACCTTAGACAAAGGATTTAGCTACTCAAAACTATGGGTAAACAAACTAAAACAATATTCATCATAAATCTTGCAAGAAAATTCAAAGAAACGAAGAAAGATGTTTTGGGTGATCTCTCACAATTGTTTTTCCTTGCCAAAATACTCTCCAAATCAATACATGCCTCTCTTGAGCGAAGTCTAGTGTTTAAAATAGGGTTTTGGGCTAAAAATCCCGTGTTTTGCCCTTTAGTCCCTGAAGTTCTCCGCCTCCGCCTCCGCCGCGGTTCTGCCGCGGTCAAACCGCGGCCAAACATGCTCTCTGATTCTCACTTTGTCTGCAGCCATCTTCTACCGCGGTTCTGCCGCGGTCGCGGTGGAATCGCGGCAGTCCTCTTCCAGTTCTGACTTGAGCTGTTTCGCGTGGTTTACTTGACGGAATTTTACGATCGGCCTCTTTTTCTCCATATTTGATCCCAAAAGTACTCCATAGCCTTCTCTGATCATATATAACCTGCAAAGCATGAAAAGCACTAATAAGAGCATTTTGTTATCACTTTTATCATCCAAACTATACAAAAAGATGGTTATTTAGGACCTAATTATAGTTAAATTCACCTATTATCAACCAATACTAAGAATTTGCAGAAAAATACATTATTTCATTTGGAATTAAGAAAAAAATGATTACGCTTTAAAATTAGCTATAGCAAAAGATCCAATTCAACTCTTTTTTAAACTAATCATCGTATAATAAATTATTTTTTTAAGTAGACATAACTCTTAGGATATAAAAATAAAGTAAATCATTTATATTATAGTAATTGCAAAGATAAAACTTAAAGCAATAAGTATGGAACAATTAAAGACCAAATATATTCTAACGAATGACTACTCATTATATTTTATATAAATTAAATTACTTCTTTTGAAAAATATTTACTCAATATTAGTCTTTTTAGGATTTATATTGTCATGGTAGGCAAACCACTTTAACGTTATTCCAAAATTCCTAGAAAACTAATAGTCAGTTTTTCAATTTATGTTACTTCATAAATTTTAAAAAAAAAGCATGATAAAAGGATTTTTATATTACTTATTTGTTTTCGGTACGTCGCATAATAATTTTCATAAAACTGTTCTACGTAAATCCTCATACAACCATAGTAGGATAATAACTAATGATTGAGGATTTCTATTTATAACTTATTTTTTTATTGAGTTGGTAATATATAATCAATAATCATCATCCTCAACTTTTACGTGTTTTATTTTATCAATCAAAGAAAGACTTTAATATTATAAGTATGTGATTATTTTCAGAAAAAAAAAGTTAGTCAATGAGATAGGGCACACGCGCAATGCGCGTACCATGAGACTAGTTAAACAAATATAAATCCTTACTCTCTCTCTTTTTACATATACTAGTCTCTGGGTACGCACGTTGCGCGTGTATCCTATATATAAGTATAATTTTCTTTTAACTTATACAAATTTTATTAAAACATTGCATATGAATTATTAAGGTACAGGGAGTAACGTGAGTACTTCCAACTTAGTAAGTAACAGAAACAAATAAGGAAATGAGAAGCAGTGATGAGCTATACAAGTACAGTTCATTTCAGTAGTTTCAGTAAAGATTAGACATGCTTTCAAATCCGGCAGTTTAAGTCAAGACAGTTTTATACAGTTTCAAGTTATAATAGACCGGATATAAAATCTTCTAAGAATTGCACAATAATGACTGATATCAAATAAGTTCAACAGCAAATGAAAGCAAGTACAACATCTCAGGGCAACAGTCACTCAACTCATCTCAACAGCTCAATCACTAGGCTCTCAGCCCTCAGTACTCACACTCAATAGGTACCTGCGCTCATATGGGGTGTGCAGACTCCGGAGGGGCTCCTACATCCAAAGCGCTATAATCCGCACGACAATTCACGTGCTGCATGGACAACTCATGTGCTATAATATCGAATCAAAATCCGCACGGACAACTAACGTGTTGCACGGATTAAGGTGCAATGTCAAGCCCCCTTTTTCTCGCGAAATCGGGTTTTGATATTTTTTCAATTCCTTTGATAGGGTAGGGAAAAGGAATTGGTTAGAGTCGCCACCTAACAGATTAATGTGTATTAGGGCACCTAGAGCTTCATATTATACCAGTTTGCATTACCAAAGATCGGGTAAGGGCTCGAAATTACCTTGAGGGGAAGGTGTTAGACACCCCTTGAGGTCCACAACGGTAGGTCCTGGACGAACTCAATGATGAATTAGTCTAAAGAAGCGAGAGAATTATTTAATAAGGATGGGGGGGGGGGG